GGAGGGACAGCGCAGGAGGGGAAGGCCCCCTATGAGGTGGATTGATTCAGTGACTGGGGTAATCGGGATGGGTGTGTCAGAGACGGTGAGATTGGCACAGGACAGAGCAGAGTTTAGGGCTGTTGTACATAGGGTCGCTATGAGTTGCAAGCGACTCAACGGCACATAACAACCACCTAAGAAGGAAATACATAAAGCATGTTTTTTCAGCATTGCTTGTATTAGAGAAAAATTGGAAATCTTGACATCTACCAATACTACAATGTTTATTCTCAATCACTCACAGAAGTTATGTTCTAGAAAGTCACCTGAAAATACCAAACTGCTATGTACAGAACCAGCCTTGTTTGACTTCCTAGCTGGGAATTTTCACCACTCTGCATGTGCCCGTGTTCATAAATGACCATGAAAATACCTCAAGAATTTTTAGTAAAACGCTGCATAGCCAGATTGTCAGTCGAATCCACCAATAATGGGAATCATTTATATATATAACTGACAATCTAAGAGTTATATGCTTAAGGATAGATAAATCGGAAAGAAGTGAACTTGAAGCGTCATGCAGAAGGATACATATAGTATAGCATTTCTGTAATTGACTAAAAAGATACCAAACATTTCTGTGTTGTTTATGAATACATGCTTATGAGGTACATATGTGAAGTCTGCATCAGAATATTTGCCTCCAGAGAAGAAAGAAAAGATCAGAAGAGGATACACAGAGGCTTCAACTGAGTGTGTGATGTCCTCTGTTTACATGTTGAAAATTGAAGGAAAGTGTTAAGATTTTACAAAGGTAGTGAACACAGTGGTACTTTCAGTACTCTATAGTATATATCATTTTTTCTCAAATAGTTATGTCAAGAGGTACCTGTCCTTGGAGAGAGACTTCATGCTTGGAAGGGTGGAGGGGCAGTGGAGGAGGGGAAGACCCCCGGATGAGATGGCTTGACTCAGTGACTAGAGAAGTGGGATTAGGTCTGTTGGAGGTGATGAAATTGGTTCAGGATAGGGCAGGTTTCAGAACAATTGTACATAGGCTCACTATGAGTTGTAGGCAATGCAATGGCACATAACAACAACATGTAAATTTGGAGGGAAAGTCTGGTAAGTAAATGCAGAAATGGTAAAAAAAATCAATTTCACCACCACTAAGTATAATCATTGTTTAACTATCCTTGAAATCTGTGATTGTTGCTTTTCTTTCTTTTTTTTTTTTTTTAAGGCAAGCATCCTAAACATTTGCATTTCAAACATGTTTTCTTTGATGATAACATGGCTTTTGTGTGTTTTTTTGTTAGGTTCAGATCTGAAGCTCCTGCCCTGCACCAGTAAGGCTATTATGCCATACTGCCTGCACCTAATGCTTGCTTGTTTTAAGGTAAGCTTCAAACTGATTAGTCTGAAAACATTTTTAGTTTGAAATAATGTTCTGGTCCTGTTCATTGACTTGAATTAAGAGCCCTGTGAAAGAATGTTTAGTACTTTTTTCTTTTCCTTGTGGTGTACCGTCAAATCAGATCTGACTGGTACAGGAGAAGATTGTCCCTCCTTCTCCAGAGGAGCATCTGGTGGATTGGAACCACGTGCCCTTGGGATTACAGTGCAGTTTCTTGCCACTAGGCCACCAGAGCTCCCTTATTTAGTTTTAAAGGCAAAATAGTATTATAGGAAAGGCACATTGGCTAGACATAAATCAGTATTTACTACGTATTAATTGTACTAGGCAAAGAGAAATAGGAAATTATCCCCATCCTTTTAAGTTAACATATAATAGTGTAGCAGAAATGCCATTAACCCTGCCCTTAGTTGTTAGTGTCCTCAAGGCAACTACAGCTCTTAGCAATATCCTGTGAGCAACAGGTCAAAACCACCATCTTTATGATCACGGACATGGTTGGGCTCATCGATGTAGTCACTGTGCCATTCCATCTCATTTAACATGTCCTCTTTTTTGCGGACCCTTTACCTTTCTCAGCGTGATGTCTTTTCCCAAGGAGCGGCCCCTCCTGGTAACACGGTCATGATGTTTTTGTTGTTGTGAGCCATCAAGTCAGTACAGACTTGTAGCTAACCCTCCAGCAGGTTTTCAGAGGCAGTTAATCCCAGGGGAGGAGATTGCCCATCCTTCTCCAGCATAGCTGCGCATATATTTAAATCGCATGCCTTTGGAATTGCAGTGCAGCTCCTTACCAGTCGGCCATCAGAGCTCCCTGGTCATAACAGTGTTTAGTAAATATTTAAGAATGAGTACACATGCCAAAATATACAGGCAGTCCCTGGGTATAAGGTAAATTTGTCCTCATAAATACCATAACAAATTCTTCATAGTAGTACATTTACTTGCTGCGTGTGCAGCTTTTGAAACATTGAAGAGGTTCCCATGCCTCTTTTTGCATTAAATCTAAAACCACTTCTGTTGAATTGATTCTGACTCATAGCAACCTTATAGAAGTAACTACCCTCTGAAGTGTCCAAGGCTATACATCTTTACAGAAAGAGACTGTCTTGAATTTCTCCTGCAGAGCAGCAGTTAAGTTCAAATTGCCAGACCTGGTTAGCAGCCCAGCCTTTAGTTACTGTGCCAATAGGGCTTGTTTCCTTACACTAAAATAAGAGTAAACAAGAAATATGTGCACCAATCCAGTTTACCTTCACATTTGACTTAACGACACAGGAAATCTTTTTCATAACCCAAGGACTTCTTAGCTACCAGAAAATAATGCAAATGCTATTTGGCTCATAGAGAGATCCTTTGTGATCATAAAGATATATTGGGTGAAGGCTTTAAAACATTAGAATAATCACCACCAAAGGTCCAACAGGGTTGGGAATATTCAGAGTGTTGAAGAACATCAAGCCTGTTGCTACAGGAAGAAGCAGCAGAGAACCATCTAGCAGACAAGCCAAATTGTACCTAAGTTCTTAAGCAAGAAAGTAATTGTATTAGATCTTCACTTTAGTACAGTAATTCCCAAACTGAACAATCATCAGCATCTCTTGGGAATATGAGAACTATTTAAAGTGTGAATTTTTTATTTAGACATAATGTTAATTTAAAACAAAAAGTCCTTTGTGTCTCCCGTTCACACTCCAGCTTTTTGTTGTTGCTCACTGCCTTTCTCCCCCATCCTACATTCTCCTCAGATCCTTCTCTCCTAATGACCTCTTGTTCACCCTCCGCCCTTTTTCCCTATAGAAGAAACCTCAAATTCTTCTCTCTGTTGTTCAGAAATACTCAGCTTTATTTTGTCCTTGTTTTTTAAACTATAAAGCTCAGGCCCACTCATACCAATCCAACTTCCATCAGCATTTTCCTCAGAATACACTGCTTGCAACTTCTTGCACAGCCCCGAGATATCCTGAGATTCCGTTATTAGGATCCATCCTCCTTAGAAGGCAGATGTGATGTTTCAGTAGTTATTTCATTTCTGTGTTGATCTCACCTTATTTAGCCTAAGGACCTTTATCTTACATTTTCATGGAATGGCCTTTTTTTGAAATTATGTTTGTTTTATTTATGTGTTTTACCCCTTGGTTTCCTTTTCCTTCCTGCATAAATCCTTTTCTTGTAGCTTCGAGCTTTCACAGACAACAGGGATGACATGGCATTGGGGCACGTGATCGTACTGCTTCAACACGAGTGGCCGCGGGGAGAGAATCTGTTCTTGAAAGCTGTCAATAAGATTTGCCAACAAGGAAATTTCCAATATGAGAATTTTTTTAATTACGTTACAAGTATCCTTTTTTCTTGTTCAAGCAAAACAATTTCTACATTTTTAGAATGAATGCATACTATGAAAAAAAATTAATGAACCACTCTAGGTAGAAATAATGATTTTTAACTATTTGCTTTTTTTATACTCATCAACCTCTTTGGGTGGGGGGAAGAGAAGTAACAGTGATGAAAGATGTAGCTGTGGCAACTTGTCTCTTGAAAATCACAAAAAGCTTTCAGAGAAAAAAATAAATAAAAATGTTTTAAAAAGCTTCAAAGAAGTAATTCAGAGAATCAGAAATATTAACAACCTTATTCCATTTTCTATTTCCAGCTGACTTCTAGGAAGTTAACCTCATGTCCTGAAGTCATAGACAGCAGGCTCGCAATGGCTGGACTATACTAGTTGATTAGTCTCCATTTGTGCAGCCCCTTCTAGTACATTAGCTGTCCACAGGGTACCTTGCCAAAACTGTCATAGTTGCCACTATTTTCCCACCAAACATGCTTCCAGTACAGTAATTGCTTCAGTTCCTACTTCTTCCCAGAGAAGGACCATCTTTGAGTTGGTGTTTGTGCTTTGGTGTGGGTATTTCTATCCATTGCTTATAGTTATATTATTTCTGAATTGCAGTGATCCTATAACCTTACCTAAGTGCCTGAAGCAAAACTTCTTAACCTTTTTTCTGGACTGACACTTTTTGAGTATCTACATCTGAATGTGTCATCAGTATTTTGTATAAAATTTGAAGAGTTCATAGAAAATTCTTTTTCTGAAGCATCTAAATGTCCATGCACACTAGAAATTAAGAAATAGTCACTTTATGCATCAATTTTATGTTTTATAACCCAAAACAATCTTTCCCTTCCATTTTCTTATTAATAAAACAAAGGACTTTACTCTTATGACTATATAGAAGTTGTTTAATTATTCTGTTTGCAGGAAATAAGTTGCCCTGATGGCATTTAGCCTGGCAAATCTTATGCCACGAATTGCCTCTGTGAAGCAACTATTTTTTTTTTTTGGTGTAAAGCTCATAACTCTGGAATCAGGCCTGGGTTTAAGTACTGACTCTGAGTGTTAATTGTTTGGATGGCGATGGGCAAGTGCTCTGAGCCTCTATTTCTTCATCTGAGATAATAGGGGCATCATGCTTTTCCATGTGGTTAACCTGAATCTGGCCAACAGATATTGATATGCTGGAGGAATTCGCCTACTTAAGAACTCAGGAAGGTGGGAAAATTCATCTGGAATTACTACCCAATCAAGGAATGCTCATCAAGTAAGCATACTGTCTTTTGTCCTTCAGTGCTAAATGCTCACCTGTGTGCTTGTAGGAAAGAAATGTCTATACCTTTCAAAAATATAACAGGAAGGAGTCTAGATGTGGGCTCTGTTCTTAAGAGTAGAATTAATTCTGAGAAAGTTTTGAGAGATTTGCATTTTCTTAACTACATTTCTGATTCAGTATTTGTTTAATTGTCAGCTTCAAAACTTTTCACTAAATAAGCATCTCGTTCATACTTTCTTTTCCATTCGAAAATTTATAGATTGATTTTGTAAATTCTAAATGGATATAGAGTGCTTTTAATTAAAAAAAGCATTTAAAGTTGTACTAGATTAGGAAAATTCATTAGGAGAAATTAAAAATCTATAAACTGCCTAAGAGTGTAAATATTTATCTGAGGCCTTCTTAAAGCGATCGTCATTGCCAGTGTACGACAGAGTAAAATAACCATGGCTGTTGCCGCCCCTGCTTCAGAAATGGTGCTGGGGTGCGCTGAGTCACAGCTTCTCACCTGGTGTTACTAAGATGGTTTCCTGGCCCAGATGAGAGTACCTAGTTAGTGACCATTTATGATTTTTAAATAGTTCATAATTCTGCTTCTCCCCTTTAATACTCATCATAGTTGGATAATATATCCCCTCTGCTGTCAGTGCCACATGTAGTTCTATTGTCATGCTTCCTCCTCTGCTTCCTGCATATTCAGTGCATCCATTAGTCAGTATTAGAGTCACTGCAAAAAATTGAACTTTGAGTTAGAACAAAGTGCTACTTAAACAAGAAACATTTTCTCCTCATTTGTATATTTCAAGGTTTACATCTGATTCTGCCTTTATAGAATCTTAGAATTGTGACAACAGAAAGGAAAGAAAGAAAGATTTCTTTTGAGTTTCTGTAACCTTAGTAATTGTGCATGGCACATATTTTTAGGTCCTGTCGAGAATAGATAGGAATGTTGGCAGCTCAAAGCCTCCCGTCATTCTGAGAAAGAAAAGTGTTAACAGTCTACTTCTGTAAAGATTCACAGCCTTAGAAACCTTGTGGGACTTTCCTGCTCCCCTGCAGCCTTAGGAATTGGCTCCATGGCAACATTTTGCTTTATTATGTAGGAGAGCATCTTGCAGATACTAAAAAAAGACAAAGGTTAAGTGAGTTATCAGCTCTTCTTTGCAAATAGCGTTATATAGTCTAAACATTTTTAAGAACTAATTTTCTTTTATACATTAGTTCCTGAGATAAGGTGGACTAAAATTACTCTTATTTCCATTTCCACCCCTGAGATGGTGAATTAAAAGTAAAACAGTTGCTTTGTTGAAAAATATTCTTAAACAGTGTTGATAGTAAAAATTGCTTTTTGATACAGGATCCAGGTGTACTCACTCTTGTGTGTGATTTCTCTTCTAGGTTGTGAGGATGGATATAAAACTGACTTTAATAGCTTTTTCATTGACACCTATTTATACTTAGTAGGCGCATTGTCATAATAGAGAGCCGTGCTCGTAACTTGCCCTCAGGTTTCCATGCTGTGAACCTTAGCAGGAGGTGACTGCCCAGCTTTCTCTCCTGGAGCTGCTCGTGGAGTCAGACCGCCAGAGGCACAAGGTGTTTGGGGCAGCAGCACAGCACACTGTGGACTCCACCACCAGAACATCTAGTGAACCCACAGGTGGTTCTCACTTTTCTAATGCACTGCTGAACTGCTGTGACGATGTGAGAGAAGAGATGGTCAAAATCAGCAGTTGAACTGCAGACTTGATAGTACTGCAGCCTTTCTTTCACCAGATAACTTTATGTTAAGATGAACTTCCAGGGATGCATGCAGATAATTTCTAGGATAAGGAATTAAAATGACCCAGACAACACCACCTTAAAAGGCTATTTGGAGAAAGTAGGGACACACATCATGCATGTCTAGACGTTAAGGGTTAATTCTGTTTTTTTGCCACTTTGATCAGTATGAATTTCAAAACGCCTAAGCCTTATAGAAAATGTGCTTTTGTTTGAAGGCAGGAATAGAGTTTAATACCGTATGAGCTGACCTGGTAGAAATCTGCCCAGTCTTCATTTTATGAATACAAGGTTAATTTGAAATCTGCATTTCACATTATTTATGCCTAAAGTACAGAGGTGGAAGCATACTTCGTAAGACAGAGCTCTTACTGATCTGTGATTCAAATCTTGAATGAAACTCTCTATATTCCTTTTCCCATTGGATTCCAAACAAATGTTCTGATGCCATTGCAGACCTTTTGGGTGGCCCCTCCAGCTGAGAGGTGGAGATGTTGTTAGCAGTGTACAGCTCTCCCCTGGAGTAAAGTTGTTGATCCCATCCTAGTGTGGCATCAGGGATGCAAGCAGGTACAGAACAAACCCTGTGGGGGCCCAGTGCCTCAGCAAAAACAACGCTGAACCCTCTATTGTTACAGAAACGTTTGCACTCACCCGCTATAAAATAGAGAAACGTTCCTGTGTTGATATTTACAGTATCTGAGCTGCATTAGACTGTATGAAAATGAAAAGCAATTCCCTGTATATGCTCTAAACAGGGTGGAGAATATTCTAGGAAGTGATCACTCTGCTGATACTGAACCCATGTGGTTACAGAATTGCACTAAGCCCTGGGTCCTGGCTTTTTCACCCCATTTGTTCCTTTTTGTGTTTTGTTGGTTGATTTTTTTGTTTCTGTTTCTTCTAACCTAAGTCTTCTAAATACTTTTTGAAATTTATACAAGCGTCTATATCAAAAACATTATCAGCCCCTCAGTCCCCTTGGAAGAACCTCTATTTGGTGCAAAGAGAGTTACAAAAATAACCAGGTCTCTGGGGTTGACGGTGAGTGAAGGAGGCTGGATGTGAAACCGTGTGTTCTCAAATGTTAACCCTTTTTCCTTCTGCCATTCAGTTGCATTTCATCAGCCTGTCTCCTCACTGACTGCTTTCTATACCAAATCCCAAGCTGGCTGAGCTCTGGGACCTCTAGACATGATCCTGCAGCGGTATACAGTGAGAGGGGTGACTTGCTTCTCCCCATCCTCCTCAAACACAGCCACAGCCAGTGCTTGTTGGAGGTTAAAGTGTTTTCTGTATAGTCGGCTTCCAGTCTTCTGCATTTTCTGTGCAGTGTTGTTTTTGCAGTGCAGGGTGAGTCGGTGTGGGTGTTTGAATGCTGCTGTTTGCTGTTTTTTAAAGGCCTTCTAGCCCTCCCATGGGGTTACTGCAGCAGGAATTCTTACCTGTGCTTCAGCCCAGCATACAGACTGCTGACAGGTACCAAGTGGAAAACACCTGCTCATAGTGTGCTGTTTTGTCAACATGTTTTACTGCCCATGGTTTTCAGCTCTTTGTTACTCAGTGCCCTTTTTCATGCTTTGTTTATTTTTTAATTTGTTCTGCATTCCTTGGCAAACCATCTGGTTGTAATATTGTAACATTTCTTATTTTTTTTTCCATAAATTGCCAGTGTGTTTGTGTTCAATTTAAAAATCATTATGGATCTGAAAAAAAATAAAATGAAAGTTACATAAACCTGTATTAGATCAGGGCCTATGATTCTCATGATAAAACATAGGCCATTCAGTGATATTTAAGGACACTGACGCTTATTTTTAGTTTTGAATTTTCAGATTAGTGACCAGTGTTGAGGTTTCTTTGGTTTTTAATAAGATTTATTAGCATAGGTATTTGTTGTGTTTTTTTTTTGTTCCGCCACTGATACTATTTGATACTTGTAGCCTTTCTGAATTTAAAATATTTGATAGGCTGAAATATACATTTCTTAGACTTATCTTGTTCGTAAACCACAACGGGTAACTAATTCTCCTCTTCAAACTTTCTAGAGTGATAGAGACACAGATAGAAATATAATTGAGCTGTGCTGCTCTTATTAATGGAGATAATAGTCTTAAATTGCCATCAGCAAGTTACAACATTTTATTAAATGTTTGACTAGTATTAAGGAGGAAAGTTGCTGTGAACCATCCATAAGTACCCATTAGCTTAGAGTATGCAAATATCTAATTTATAGTTGGTCAGAGGTCACCTCCAGTTTGGGGTAATGGTGCAAGAACCAGAAGAGAATGAGGGCAGCAGAAAACAGTCTGTGTCCATTCATAGTGGGATCCATGGCCTTGACCTCTCTGCCACTATGTCTTAATTATGGAATTAACCAGCTGCACTTGAATAGAAATGCCCACAAAGAACAGCTTTTGCCCCCTGGCACCGCTGGTTCACTGTGTTGATCTTAAACACGTCTTTTGGCATTGAAGAGAAACCTTGAATTCCTTCACTAGTCTAAAAGCCTGGTGTCTATGATTTTGTTCTTTCTTTTCTGGTACTAGTTTTTGGTTTGGGGTGGTTGGTTGGTTGGTTGTGTTTTTTTTTTTCTTTTCATTTATGGTTCTATAATTTTAAAAAACAAACATTTCAAAGTGATTAACAAAAGTTTAATTGGCCATTGCATAAATCTTAGCACGGTGTCTGAGGACAGTCAGCCTTAGGCATAGGGAATGGAGCTGACTTGTAGTTGTCTACAGCAACCAGTTTACCAGACACATTTCCTCTTACTTAAGCCTGTTGATCTTTTTGCTAGATTTTTTTTCCTTTTTATTTCTTCATTTTGGTGTCTTATTTTTTCTGGGATTTCATTTGTAATTTTTTAAAGTACACCTTTGGGAATGTAATTAGAAACCTCTTTGTTTACGCTGCCATTGATCCTTCCATCAAAGTTCAGGTCTCCTGAACCCTGGAGCCAAGTCAGATCAGTCAGTAAGACTGGGAAGCCCAAACTCTGCTCTTGTGAGATTCTGCCTGTCTCCTCAATCTGTGTCAGGCTGCTGTATCAGAAATCCCAATTCCCCTGCTTTTTTCTTACACACGAGTCTAGGTGGGCTCAGTGCTAACAGGAATAATGATTTGCCTGTCTTGGCATTTTGGCGAAGAAGATGTCTTAGTAAACCTAGTGGCTGTGCAGAAGCCCCTAGCCTTTCATGGGGCATCAGAGCAACAGGAAACTCAGGTTGTATTAGTCTCATTCTGTTCTCCCTCCTCCTGCTGCTGTTTCTGAACAGTCTGCTGGCTGAGCTGAACACGAAGGCTTTGTGGCCGGGGCAAGCTGGGCTCATTTATCCTAAAGTCACTGAATTATGCCAACTGCAATAGTTGAGATGTATAACATCAGAGCTTCAGGAATTGAAGAGCAGAGCATGTGGCATTTTATAAAAAAATTAGATGTTTTAAACAATCAAAGGTCTCTAGTTTTTTTAAATCTTTCTGAGAAGGAATAAGCAAGGGCATTATTTTGGTATGGGCTTATTCTTTGTTTATTTTCTAAACACATTTACACTTAGGTATGAGTTAGGCTTTACTTATTAGGCCTTATGCTGTAGGAGTAACACTGTCTTCCAGTTGTGATGCGAGTACTGACCCTTGGTCTCATCTGTTTCCCTGTTGCTGACCTCAGGCACCACACAGTCACTCGGGGCATCACCAAAGGCGTGAAGGAGGACTTCCGCCTGGCCATGGAGCGCCAGGTGTCCCGCTGCGGGGAAAACTTGATGGTGGTACTGCACAGGTTCTGCATTAACGAGAAGATCTTGCTGCTTCAGACTCTGACTTGACTGGAGACCTTTCTGCCAGAGAGCTTGGTGGTGTGTAATCTTTCTTTGGAAAGCATAAAGCAGTGGTGAATGTTACTGTCAGATCTCTTAAAAACAAGAAAACCATCTGAATTCCAACTCATTGATTCCTTACAAGTAGTTCCCAAGCGCCTAAGAAGCTATTTCTATTTTTCAGAGTCATTTTTAAAGTAATTTTTGTAAGACAAAACAAAAAAACCCACTTGTTTTGTAAATAAAAACCACCTTAAATTGAATGGATTGAGAAGTTATGGTACATTCATACGATGGAATACTGTGGAGGATTTAAGAGCAACAGTTTCGTAAAATACTACATAGCTTGGGAAAGATTGGTGAGCATTATGTTGAATGAACTAACTCAGTCTTGTAAGGACAAATACTGCATCTGACCATTATTGTGAAAACAGGATAATTAGTAGGATGTATAGGGTCGCTATGAATCTCAAGCGACTCAATGGCACATAACAACAACAACGATATGGATATCCAAAGAGGAAAGGGAAGGGGAGGGGAGGGATCACAGGGCCACAGAAATTGGTGTATGGAGGGAGAGGGTGAAGGAATTGGGAGAGTCAGTGGAAATCTGAAAAGACAGGATAATCGTAGCCATAGATCAGTGGTGATTCATTTTATTTAAGACACAATGTATGAGAATGATCATATGAAACTCAATGTGAACGAATAAACAAAGACATTTTTTTATACAAGTTTTGCACAAAAATGAACAATCCTGTTATTCGTCTGTATTCCCTGACCCTTGTCCTTGACCTACTAGCATATGTCTTATTACAGACCATGCAGTGAGAGTATGCTGACGGATCAAAATACCAAGTCTGTTAGAAAGCCCTCGAAAGGAAATAGAAGGCGGGAACTTGGGGAGTAGGGTGGGAAGGGCAGGAAGCAGGCCCAGGAATACCCTCATCAAGGGCCCTCCACACCCAGAGGGTGTTGCCGATGGGCTTTGAGGCCAGATGACCTCAGAAGGAGGCTCTGAGCAGAAGTCCTCGCATATGTTTGGCTGATGTTAACTATCAGGTTTATTTCTTTTAATTTTTAAGAAATACTTCAAGTCAATATCAACATTTGCTTCTAGGAGGAGTTAAGAATGAAAGCTAAAATGTTGTTCAGTAGCTTTAAAAGTTTTTCAAAATTTTACTAAATAATATTCTTTTATTTAGCTATATTGAAATAGTTTAAAATAGTAAACATTCAGACTTTCAACTAGCTCATTTTAAAGTGTTAACACTTTAACATGTCTATTATAAATACATACACAGTCCTATTGCTTTTATTATGATGTGTTTTGTTCTGAATTTTCAAATTAAACACACATTTTTTCATCTTTATAGCACTTTCCTCACATCAGTGTTTAAGGACAGCACACATAAAATTTGGGATTGGTGAGAGTTACACAGTATGAAAATATGTTTGCTTGTCTGTCAGATGTTGTACTCAAGCAGAGCTCCTAAATTAACAGACTAGGAAGAAGGACTGGCCATCCACCTCTGAAATAACAGACCTCCAACAAACCCTGTGAACAATAGAGCACACTTGGACAGTTAGATATCACACTGGAGGCTGAGCCCTCATATTGAGAAACACAAAAATGAGAAGGAATAGCTGCAAACAGCCACCAATATTTGGGACATGAAACATACGAAATATGAGTGTAGGAAAATTGGAAATGGATATATGCACACCCATGTTTATTGCAGCTTTGTTCACAATAGCAAGGAGTTGGAAACAACCTAAGTGCCCATCAACAAACGAATGGCTAGAGAAGCTGTGGTATATTCGCACAATGGAATACTATGCTGCATTAAAAAACAAGGAACTCATGCAATATTATTCAAAATGGTTGACTCTGGAGAACATTATGCTGAGTGAAATATCCCAGTCACAAAAGGACAAATATTACATGATGCCACTGTTGTAGAATGGGACTGTCCTTGGGGTTGGGGAGAGACTGAGTAAGATGGGTTCAATAATGTATACTGCACTGAAACAGAGGCGGGAGAAAACTGTTTAAAAGAGAGATGTAACTGGGTATTTCTGTCATCACAGGAGACTAGAGCGAGGGCTGCATGGTGGAGGGGACCTGGGGGAGTGTTTGTAAAACAATGAAAGAATCTTTTCTTTTACTTTTCCATAAAAAAAAAAATTGGAAATGGTTAAAAAAATTAAATGCTTAAATATTGATACACTAGGCATTGTGATTTTAACTGATTTTAATATAGCTATAAAAAGAATCTTATTTAGTAAAATTTTGAAAAACTTTTAAAGCAACTGAACAACTCTTTAGCTTTCATTCTTAACTCCTAGAAGCAATCTGCGTTATGCAGATGACACAACCCTACTTGCTGAAACTGAGGAGGACCTGAAGTGCTTGCTCCAGAAGGTCAAGGACCTCCAATATGGATTGAGGCTTAATGTCAAGAAAACAAAGATTCTCACCACTAGGCCAGTTGGCAGCATGGATGGTGAAGAAATTGAGATTGTTCACAGCTTTAGTTTGCTTGACTCCACAGTCAACACTCTTGGCACCAGCAGCCAGGAAATTAAATGATGTATTGCAATGGGAAAGTCTGCTTTTAGGGACCTCTCCAAAGTACTGAAGAACACTGATGTCAACATGGAGACTAAGGTGTGCCTGATACAGGCCATAGTCTTTGCAGTCACTTGCTATGCATCAGGGAGCTGGACAATGACCAGGGAGGATAGAAGGAAAATTGATGCCTTTGAGCTGTGGTGTTGGAGAATAGTGCTGAATATACCATGGACTACAAAGAAAATAAACCGGTTCACACTAGAGAGGGTTAGACCAGGCCGCTCCTTGGAGCCAAGGATTCTGAAGCTTCGTCTGACATACTTTGGACATGTTGCAAGGAGGGACCAGTCCTTGGAGAGGGACAGCGCAGGAGGGGAAGACCCTCTATGAAGTGGGTTGATTCAGTGACTGGGGTAATCGAGGGTGGTATATCAGAGACAGACTGGCACAGGATAGAGCAGGGTTCAGGACTGTTGTACATAGGGTCACTATAAGTCGCAGGCACATAACAACAGACATTGATGAACTGAGACATATTGGCAGAAGCCACTTTGAATCAGACAATCTTATGATCTATGCTGGAGATGAGAAGGTGAGAAAAAAAGGGATTTCATTCACAGTCAAAAAAACCGTTTCTAGATCCATCTTAAAGTACAGTGTTGTCAGATATAGGATACTATCCATATGCATACAAGGAAGACCTTTTGATACCACTATCATTCAAGTATATGCACCAACAGCCAGAGCCAAAGGGAAAGAAACAAGCTTTCTATCAACTTTTGCAGTCTGAAATTGACCATGCAACCAAGATTGATTAATAATACTTGGTTACTGGAATGCAAAAGTTGGGAACAAGGAAGAAGGGCAGTAGTCAGAAAATAAGGACTTGGTGACAGAAATGAGGCTGGAGACAGAATGATGGAATTTTGTACAATGATTTATTCATTGCAAATACCTTTTATAGAAAAAGACAAACTATATACAGCAGTTATACACATGGACTGCACCTGATGGACTATAAAGAAATCAGATTGATTACCTCTGTAGAAATAATTGTTAGAGAAGCTCATTATCAGCTGCAGAAACTAGGCCAGATGCTGACTGTAAAACAAACCATCAGTTACTCATGTTTAAGTTCATATTGAAGCTAAAGAAAAGTGAATCCACGAGAACAAAAACATGGCCTTGAGTCTATCCCACCTGAATTTAAAACCATCTCAAGTTTGAAGTATTGAACCCTAATGAGCAAAACCCAGATTAGCTGTGGGAGGATATCAAGAATATCATCCATGAAGAAAGCAAAAGGTCATTATGGAGACAGAAGAAGAAAAAATAGAAATGGATGTCAGAATAAACTCTAAATACTACACTAGAATGCCAATAGGCCAAAACAAAGGGAAGAAAGCAAGAAGTTAAAGAATTGGCCCGCCAATCAGCGTCGACGATGCAAGGAAGTTTCCAGAGCTTTCGAGGAGAACCTAGTGACACGAATTCATCCACCTGGTCAAAATGCAAATCTTTGTAAAGACCCTCACTGGCAAGACCATCACTCTAGAGGTGGAGCCCAGCGATACCATCGAGAATGTGAAGGCCAAGATCCAGGATAAAGAGGGCATCCCACCCGACGAGCAGAGGCTCATCTTTGCAGGCAAGCAGCTGGAAGATGGCCGCACTCTTTCTGACTACAACATCCAGAAAGAGTCAACCCTGCACCTCGTCCTTCGTCTGAGGGGCGGCTGTTAAAGTGCCCAATGATGGCATTACTCTACACTATAGCCTTTTCTCTCAGTTTAAGTTTAGAAATTACCAGTTTCAGTAATCACTGAACCTGTTCAAAATGTTAATAAGTTTTGTTCCATGGTAGCATAAAAAAGAATTGGAAAGGAGATTCCGAAGGTCAGCTCAAGAAGACAATGTATTAAAATGTTCAAAGAGCTGGAGTCCTAAAATCAAAAGAACTCGCTCAGCATTTCTCAAGCAGAAGGCACTGAAGAACAAATTCAGAGGTTGAGTTGTAATACTTAAAGATGCTATGAGCAAAATATTGAGTGATCTAAGAAGTATCAAAAGAAAAGAATTGGCTGACAGCTATTTCAGGAAGTAGCATATGATCAAGAACTAAATAAAGGAGAAAGTTCAGGTTGCTCTGAAGAAACTGGCAAAAAAAGGCCCCAGGAATTGATGGAATACCAATTAACATATTTCAACCAACAGATGCAACCCTGGATGTGCTCACTAGGTTGTGCCAGGAAATCTGGAGGACAACTACATGACCGACTGAAGGAGAGAGATATTTATTCCCATTCTAAAAAAAAAAAGATCCAAAAGAATGTGGAAATTATTGAACGATATCACTAATACCCCATGCAAGCAAAATCTTGAAGATAATCCAAAAAATTATTAGACATACAAGCAGGGTTTAGCAGAGGCCATGCACTAGGGATATCATTGCCATTGTCAAATGGATCTTGGCTGAAAGCAGAGAGCACCAGAAGTGTATTTGTGTTTTATTTACTATGCAGAGGCATTTGACTGTGTGGGTAACAATAAATTGTGGCTATTAGAAGAATGGGAATCCTAGGACACGCAAAACTACCTAGACCAAGAAGCTGTTATCTGACCAGGGCAAGGGAACACTGCATGGCTCAAAATCAGGACAGGAGTCATCAGGGATGTGTCCTTTCT